TTATGCAATCCTCTAATTAGCATAATCCGTCCTCTTCATTAACATCTCCTGCCCCCAATAAAGATCCCAGTTTCTACCCCCGACCTGGGATCTGTGGTTCTATTGACCACTTAGAGGTGCTCACACACAGAATTATTCCAGCAGGCTGCATGTACAGGGGACTACACCCAGAGGCATGATGTTAAATAAATGTGTAAGTACTTCTGATGATTCTTCTCCCTCTGTTGATCCCCTTGAGTTCCCCCTGGATGTATGTATTCACCAGATCTGTCCCATTTGCTCACCACTACAGCAACTCAGTGAGTAGACAGGAGGCAACATTGTCCCTTCTCTCCCATGGGAGAGCTTCTGATTTTTGTCACAACTATGCCAAATGTTAAACGCTAATATCTGGTATTTGTCTTGTGCTTCCTACATTCGATATTCCTTCAAAAGTAGTTACTGGATTGCCACTCCCAGTAATGGAAATCACGAGGCAGGTGTTTAAACTACGGACACACTTGAAAAGACTAGTGCAAAAATCCTGTAAATGAAAAGCCAACTCATTTTCCTATCCTGTGAGATATATTTTATAACCTGTGAGCAGAAGGCATCACATCTGAACTCTTGCATACTATGGGTTGATAATTGTTACCCAGTCACCTCAGCTCTGAAGACAGCAACTCATGTTTCTCTGCTGTTCACCTTCTAGAAGGGGAGACAGTTTAAATTGAAGGCACCAAAGAGAAAATCTACCCCTCAATCACTATCAGCAGTAGCAAGGCTGGAACAAGACAGGACAAGACCACCCTGCCTTCAGTGCTGAACAGCAGGGGACAACAGGCAGGTGCTGCTGCAGTGACTCTGCACAGCTACAGGACAGCACAGATATCCTCTTCCTCTTGCAGTCTCCTAGAGCTACTGTTAATTAAACCATTCCTTATAATTTTCAGAACTTGCAGTTTATATTAATTTATACAGCTTTCTGCCTTATTGGTTACTTCACATATAACTTCGAAAATGTGTTTGCAAGTGTAAAAGCTAGAAAAGTACATTTTGTGTGTTAATACTGGACCAGCCTACTGAAGGTGAAAAGGCAGATTAACTGTGAAACCGGGGAAAAAATGGACAATTTAGGAGATTTCCCACTCTGGACAGACATTCATGGATTATTCATTTTAGTTCCCTGGTTTGACAAAACCACTGAGGTCTGAATGACTTTCCTCTGAAATGCAGCACGAGTTTCCTTTCAGAATTTCATTAATACTACTCTGCTCATACAGGGGAGAAGGATTAGCACCATGTTTGTCACAGTAGCTTTGAATTCTAGAATAATCTTACTAACTTGCAGAGACTGAGGGAGGGATAGCAATGGCCATTTTGTTAAAATAAACTGAAGGGTAAATATTCTAACTTACCTCAAAGGGATGGACTTTTCCAAGCCCATCTCCTGCTCCCATGACCACTGGAGAAAGCAAAAAGAAGGATAAGGATTCCATTTGGAGCTCTGCTTTAGCTCGTTCTTTCTGAATCCTTGATCTTCATCATCGGCCTTTCTCGAATGTTGCAACCTATGTGTCTCTACTGAAGCACAGAATCAATTTTTTCAAAAAATTTTTTTCCCTGTACCTTTGCATCCTTCAGTTACTGCATCCAGCAATTTTTGTCTTCAAAGCAAATCCCTCCCCAGGGTAACTTTGTTGAGGTTACAAGGTGATAACAGGAGGTAATTATTACCCTCATTTTCAGTAGTGTAAACAAGCAAGAAGTCAAGTACCTCAGATGTGGTAGAATTTTCTTCCACATATACATTTTCACACGTACTGCTTTGCAAGCTTGGCATTATTTGCTGGTGGCAGAGTAGTAGGAGATAAGGACTAACTGGTGTCTGAAGCTGATATAACAATTTCTCACACAAGAAATCTATCCCTAAGGAAAGATCACAGCAAATTTACCATAATCTATAAAATGCTCTTCCTTCAGAGCTGCCCTACTCAGTTTACTTTTGGATTTAGTGTTACTGGGAAAACAAACTATCTTTGGCATTTGTAAAGCACCCTAAACTTTAAATGCTATGCAAATAAATGCCAAAGAGGAAGTACAGAAAGAAAATCCTTCTCACTTTAGAAATTAGAAGAAATAAAGTAGCAAAGTATCAAAGTAAGTACGAGGTAAATCTTATAAGTTTCAGAGCAAATTAAAAAAGAGTCAATATCAAAAAAATGTGGATTAAGGACTTCTATATTGCAAGAGACATAGGGAAAGATAGATGTTTCTGAATGGTTAATTGCTGCCAACAGAAGAGCAATTACTCTCTCATTTCACAGAGAAATGAGATCACAATGAAGCAGTTGGTGAATCTTTACCTGCTTAGCAGACCTGGAAATGAAAAGAAAGTGTCTGTTGGGAAACAAGCTTCTATATGCCAACTTTAATTTTCATGATTCTCAGAATCTCATGTGCCACAGGATACACAGAGTTATTCAAGACTTGTGAGTTTTACTGGGCCCAGAAGACTTTGTTTATAAAAAGAGATCATAAAGGAAAGAAGTCTCCCAACCTTCAATGGAAACAAAGATTTTACACAGAAAGTTCCACATGCTGCTCCTCATGTCATGCACAGAAGGGAGGTCCTTGCCTCACTTCAATAAAAATGGGATTTATGCACTGCTTCGGAAGCATCTGGTATTCAGGAAGGTCTTCTGCACAGGTATGGATTTAATTTCTTATTAATCCATTGTGAGATGTGCTAATTAAAGGTATATTTAATCCAGTTACATCAAGTCTCTAAGGCAGGAGGAAGGAATGAAGCATGAGTGTACTGTTCAGGTCATTTCTTAACAAGAAGCCACTTTCAGCAACATCTGTAGCCAAGGGACTCAGAAACTGCAGTACCTGTTCATTCTTCCCTCACACTGATCATCTAACAAGCTTAAGAAAGACATCAGTGATCAATGGGAAGAAGAAGGTGTTTATTAAACTTTTCTGTTATTTTATGAGAATGCACATTATCTTTATAAAAAGCACTGCCAAGTTGCAGCCTTTGAAGATTTTAGACTAGAGCATACTCAGCTCACTAATGATACCATTAAGGAGAGGTCACCACTTTGGAAAAAAACCACACTGGAGCAAAGAAAAGTTACTTTGAAAAGCAGAGAACATATGCTAGATATAAACTGGTTGCTTCACACACCAGAAAACTAAGATTTGCTATTAAAATGAAAGCCTTTGCAGAAAAGCAAAAAACATCATTAGTAGGAACAGGGAGAGAATTCCCATCTACACGTCAGGGAGTGAACTGTTACCACTTTGACTATTTCTCTATTCTCCCCAGGCAACCAAAAATCTTCAGGCCCACAAACCCAGGAAAAGAAATCAAGCAAACCATAGTTAGCAGAAACTGTGTTTTGTTCTGAAGAGACAGAAGTGAGAAGACTAATAAAACCACATGATTTTGTTTTTTCCAAGGAATATCCAGGGTTTAGATTAGAATAACATTGATACAGTACAACCACATTTGTAAACTACTGAAAAAATCCAAACTAAACAATGATTTCAGGTGCTTGCCTTAGAGCGAAAGTTTCACTCCTTTTCTGGAAAACCACATGAAAACAAAAATAAAAATATTTTTATTGTCATTGTTTAACATTCACAGAGATCAAAGATGGGTCTAAACCTAAACCCTGAAAAATAATACTCCAAACCTTGGGGATAACACAGATCAACACCACTTCTCCCAGTGAAGAGTTAAGCTGTAGCCCAGACATTTCCAGGGCAAGTTCATGCTGAAACCAGAACAAAAAATTTAACATGTCATGTTACTGACACCTTCAGACAGAAAACCACAATATGAAGATGCTTTACAAGTAAAGATCACAAGTCAGGTAACACTATCTGAAACAAGAAGATAAAATTATCATTACCATCTTAACAACAACCCAGTTTCCTCACACTAAAGCTGTCTTAATTTTTCCATTTTTGCTTCACCTCATAGGTTAGGCCAGTCAAATTTTAAAAGAAGGCAAACAATCACAAATTACCCAAAGAATCATTCCCTATTCAAGGAATACTTTAAATTTGAACAAGGTTCACTGTTTTCCATACGCAAAAATAATGCTGAATAGCTCCTCTAAATTAAAATAATAATAATAATAATTCTAAAAATCCCTTAAATTTGATGATGGACTCAAAACACAGACTTCCATAGCTGCCAGTTTTCTCTTCCACTCTTCCCTGTTACCCTGTCATTTTTGTTTTCCCGAGGTTGACATCATGGCTGGGCTTCGCGAACGAAGATTTGGGAAGGCTCTATCCACATTTGCTACAGGCACGTTGGTGGCTTATGAGGCCAATACTTGACAGACATATCCGATTGCAAAAGGCACAGCAGAAAGACTCCTTAGAAGGTGTATTCTGCAATACACGGTTCTTTCTGCGTTGCCTTTTCTCCTCGAGAGTGATCCTGAGTGTGTTCTCGAAGGAGACAGCAGCGTTATAGATGAGGTGTCTCCAGGCCTCCCGATTGGAGGCCAGAGTAGACCAGTTCTGATGATCAATATGGCCAAGGCTGAGATGTTGTTTCAGGGAGTCCTTGTATCTTTTCTTCGGGGCTCCTCTCAAGCGGCTGCCAGTGACAAGTTCACCATAGAGCAGGATCTTAGGGAGGGGGTGGTTGGTCCTTCATCCTTTAGACATGCCCTGCCCAGCACAGCTGTGTTCTCAGCAACATGGCCTCAATACTTGTGACAGCTGCTTGTTCTAGAACAGATGTATTGGTCACGTAATCTGACCAGTGGATGTTTAAGATTGAACGGAGGCAGCGTTGATGGAAGCGCTCTAGGAGACGCAGGTGGTGGCGGTAGATGACCCGTGATTCGGAACCATATAGGAGAGTAGACAACACTATGGCTTTGTAAACACTGATCTTGGTGCTTTTCTTCAAGTGTTTATTACGCCATACTCTTTTGTGGAGCTTTCCAAAAGCACTGTATGCCTTTGCCAACCTGTTGTCTATCTCTCTGTCCCGAGGTTGACAAGGAGTCTCAGATAGGACTATGGAACTTCAGGGGCCTAGTAGTAAATTAGATACTGAGAGGAAAAATAATACATTCTTAAGAATGTGAAGACTTGTTTATTGAGCCCACTCCAAGGTTTTTGTCTGAGGTATTGCCTCTCTGACTTTCATAGGAATCACTGCAAGAACTTTACAAAGTGCATGGATAGGAAGTTCTTTGGGTGACCATATTTTTTTGTCTCTTAATCTCACTCCACTAGAGCTAGGCCACTGCCTAGAAATCCCCATAAAATTTAGAGTATGAACAGATCAAGGTACAGGACAATATTCCTTGCTAGTCCAGTTACTGTTTTTCTTTGTATGTTCCCTTGTAAATATACCTCGACTCCTGTAATGGTACCAGTGTAATTTTTGAAACCTTAATTTCATTAATATGAAATCTATAGAAAAGGTGAGGACTATCAACAGCTGTATCTAACAAAAATGAGTTTTAAATTCCTATCTTATCAGCTGAAAGACACAATTTCTGAGGTTCTGAATGAAACAGCCCTTTCTGTAATTGCCTAAATTCTAACACAATATTGTGTCTGGTTGAGACCATATTCTCAGGGTTTTAACCAGCAAATTTTCATCTTTTACATTCTCTCTGCAGATACAGAGGAAAATAGTTAGTGACTGAAGCTGAGTTGCTTTGTGAAAGTATGCAAGCACTTGCACGTCCTTCTAGATAGTACCAACTTGTTATTCCTAAATGTATTTTTTAAATAATTCTGAGTAATACTATCATAAAGACTATGAAAATCAGGTCTGTATTTTAGGTGAGAAGTCTAAGTCTGAAGGACCTAAAAAATATTACATGAACAATGAATTAAATAAAGTAATTTCCACTGTGGTACAGAATGAACCAATGAAACTACCTCAAGGATGTTATAGCTGTTGATTATAGAGAAAGCAAATATTTGCCCTGTGCATGGGCTTGAGAGCAGGTGTCCATCCACAGGGGGAAAAAAAAATCAAAAAACTTATTAAAACCATAATTCATATATTTTTATTTATAAAAGGTACAGCAAAATATTAATTAATTCAATGCACACAGTAGGTGTTCCTTGGTGGTAACTACATCTTATTTAGCAGGTGCCATTGTTTGTTCATCAGTATTGCAATCAAATGGCACTCATAATCATTTCATAATCAATGAAAACCTTCCAATGCCTTGTCTCACTGCAGAGGGTTGAGGTTCAATAATTTGGATTGTGGAGGTAGAGATGATCTGGAAAAAGAGCAGTCCTACAAAAGAATGCACTCAAAAATATTGAAGACTTTTTAAGGATAAAGGAAATCTTTAAAAACTCTTAAAATATTTGCAGCAAATCCTTCCCTCCCCAGACCTTCAACAGAGAGAAAACGCAAGTCACATCTCTTAGCCAACTGGGAGAGCTCAGATTTCTCTTTTCACTTCAACTGTGCCCTTAAATTCCACTTGTAGTATCTCCAGTCACTGCTTCACTTGGCATTCACACCTATGCAGGCAGTGGGAAGCCCAGTCATTCCCTGAAGCTTCTGGTGTGATCCACCCACATCAGCCTAATCCAGACTGGTCATCCATGTGCTACACACAGAGCAATGCTTTTCAGATTTAGCTCTGCTTTAATTCAGAGGGGGATCAAACAAGTCATTAGACTACGCTGGTTCCACATCAAAGTCTTCCAAAATCTTCTTTTGATTTGATTATTTTCAAAAATCTTGGCTCCTGCTTGCAGGGAATTGAGACTTTCAACAAGATTAATTACTCTGCTGTCTTCCAGTGCTGCAGTGCTTCTATCATGTTTTCAGAGGTTAACACTTTATCCTCAGAGGCACAGGTAAGCATTGTCAACCATATTTTCAAAGAATGAAATACAGATACAGAGCAGTGTCACTGTTGTCCCAGATGATAACTCAGACCATCACAAGTGTGGACTGTGCCTACTCCAGCAATCCCCAGGCTTATAATGATTTCTTGCTCAGAATTTAAAGCATAAACTAGTACCAGACAAGCTTTCACTGTATATATATATAAAGACACAACAAGACACTGAGCCTTTCTTCTCATTTTAAACACGAGTTAGTCTCCCATATACCAATCAGTCTCCCCTCCCTACTATGTTTGTACATATCAGCATCACTTCTCTGCAGCAAGATATAGACAAAATATCAGAGGAGGTGATGGTGATTTTAAAAGAAAAATTCACATAAACAAAAACAGATTTACTTTTTTTTGGTACTTGCTCTCTCTCTCACACACACACAAAAACACCTTTAAATACTGAAAAATCCTCTGTCATTTTCCTGCTCTCCTTGAACCTGCTGCAAAGTTATGAGGATTCACTTTTAACAGTGCCAATTGCAGCAGAGCACCAGGGTGTTATTGAGGATGAAGAAAAGACTGAAAGGGAATGCCTACACAATGTATACTGAACACACTTGGACATATCCCCAATTTTTAGTCAACACTAACACAGGAAACAATCTGGGGGAACATATGCTCTTTGCCCCATATGTTCTGTATCACCCACACACAGGTAATGTGAAAACAGTCTGCACCACCAGGATTTTTGATCTCTTCACTGACAGTAAGGATCGCACATGGCATAAGGCAATGGTGAATCAGGCTTCATGGTCTTTAAAGGGAGTTTTGCCACAAGAGACTACCGGCAGACACTGATCTTGGTGAGTACAAACAGCACCCAAACACAGGTAAACACAGAAATTTACAGCTTGAGATTTGCTCATAGCATTCCTTCCTATAAATTGGCTTGTGGTGTAAAAAAAACCCTTGAAATTAAACTAGTCTATATGTAAAAAACATGGTGTGCAAGAACATTTCTGAGCCAATGAATCACATCTGTGACAATCGAGGTAGATTTTCTAGTTCCAAATGTGTCCCATCATATAGTTATTTAAGTTCTCAGCAATGCTAAGCACACATGTATCTTCAGTCCCTTTCAAGGCAGGCACTTTGGCTAACTCTTTGAGGCAGGAAGTGCATTCTCTTCATCCTCAGGTCGTGCAGGCTGGCTGCTTCCTCTCAATGTTAAAAATGAGTACCTCAGTCCTCCTGCCATGCTAAAGAAAAGGGAATGAACAGCAGCGTCAGAGATGTCTGATGTTACAGATGCCATTTCATAGGTATGAACCCTTCCTTCCAGAGGATTAAAGAACACCAGCTACCATAAATTAGGAGTGCCTCAGAGCTAGGTAAGCCATCTGAGCAGGCAAAGATCAATCACCAGTTGCTCACACAGACTCATACACACAGATGTAACAGCTCATCCAAGCACAAAAGCAACAGCTCACGAGTCAGAACTTATATTCAATGTGCACAACTTAGTCAGTGCTCTCACTTCCTACACCACTGGGCTTTTGCTTGCAAGCCTCACAGCTCAGAGCTGCTGCTCATTAAAAAAAAATCAATTCAATCCCACACAGTAAAATTTCACAGTTTTACTAATACTTCCACAGTTAAGACTCTACCACAGTTCGATTCAATACCTGAAAACAGACATGATAAAACATGTCTAACTAAGTGTAACGTACTTTTACATCCTGAGGCAGTGCTTCATCAGGTCAAAAAAATCAAACAACCCAAACAACAACACTGAGAGATTTTCAGCTCTAACAAATAAAGGCTATTCAAGTTTCACTCACCAAATATTTAGGCCTATAAAGTTTAACACAGAGAATATGTAATCTCCACCAATCAACATTCCGATGTAAGCGATGGATATATTCTGAAAGGAAAAAAAAGTAATGTATTTATTTAATTCAGGTTTCATCCCCACGAATATAAGTGATATCAACTAAATTACTTTTCTAGGGAAACAGATATACTCTGTTACTGACCACTCTAAAATCAGTGTTTAAATTCCTTTCATGTGATGTCAGCCTTATGGATAATGTAGCAATGAAACAGAATAATAAAATCAGCATGTTTTCTAAATGCACTGAGAGTGATTTTCTGGGTTAAAAAAAAGAAAAAAAGAAAATCAGCTACTCGATATTAGGCAAAATGGAGCTATGGCCACCTTTTGAAATCTACTTCTTTATAATCTTTGGAAGGCTCCCTTTAAATCCCATTTCTTAAAAGTGAGTTTTGGGTTCTCAAGCATAAAAAGGACACTTCAAAGTTACAATAAAATTCTTTTATTATTACTTTAACATGGTTATCTGCTTACTTTGCCAATGAAATGTGCACTGAAAGCACTGGGCACCAGTTCCAGACAGGCACAGTTTAAAGTTAAAGGTTCTAACTCTCACTCACCCCCTTCAAGCTTTGGAAAAAATGTCTCCTAAAAATAGAAAGAAAGCTATAGAACTGTGTGATCACTTTACCAACACTTTGTTGCCTTCAGTTGTTTTAGCACCTGGCCTGGACAACAACATCATTCCTACCAGCCTCTGCTGGTATCTGCTGCATCATAAACTGCTTCTCAACTATAAAGCTGCACAGAGCATCTCAAGGACTATCACAGCTCAGAAAATAGAAATTGTGTTGCTCTGACTTCATATATGCAGACATATAAAATGTAAAGAACACTTTCAGGGCCACAGAATGAAAACCACTACATTAATCTTGCCAGCTTTCAAAAAAGGGGAAAAAAACCCTGGAAAAAGTGCAGTACCATCCTCCTTTTGCAGATTTTGCTATGCTGGAGGTATTGTTTTCCTTAGCACCCACATAAGGGATGACCTTGAGGACTGTTATTGCTGTGCCTTAACTAGTTTGGATTCTGAGAGCGTTTGGCCCACAATTGCACCAGTTTTATCTCCTGCTAAAGCTGTTCCAGGTGCCTGGGCAGTCAGAGATGTTCCCAGTTCAGACATGTTGGCCTCAACAACACCAAGGAAGCTGCACTGGTTTTAAATTAAACCGTGTCAAAGAAAACAGACTGTAAAGACACCGAGTTTTTAAGAAACCAATTTTTTAAGACATTCATGTTTTGCTGCTGATCAAATTGACCAGAATTTGCACAAACCAAAAGGAAACAGTCCATTCAGCTGGAACACAAATTCTCACACAGAGGCTGAGGTAGTTAAACAAAAAGGAATATGCTCTTACTTCAGCTTAGTCTGTATCAGTTTTAAACAAAAAGGAATATGCTCCTTACTTCAGCTTAGTCTGTGTCAGTTCACCTGCATTTGCAGCAGACCACCTTGACTAACACACAATAACCTAACAAAAGAACAGAAGCAGGTAGTACCTGATGAAATGTGGTTAAATATATGGTTTTAAATTAAAGTGGTTCGAGTTATTCTTGTAGAAAACCCAAATATAAACCAACACTAACATTGCTTTCTAGGGCATACATGAGCTTCAGTGGAAGACAACAAAGTCATTCTGTGGTGTGACCCTGTTGGGCACAAGCAGTGCCTCACTATTAGCCCTCATTTTGACTTTCCATCTCAGAGGAGTATAATTAGATTCACTGCTGAGCCAATGCTCCTCCCTGTCTATTTGAGCATTCTTGTTTCCCTCTTCTGCTCCATAACTCACCTTGATGGCACCAACTACTGTCGTTGTGAGTGCAGAATTGTAATGACTGCATAGGACAGTAGAATACATCAAGAGAAACCTAAACAACAGAGAAAATTTTATAAATTCTTCCCAGGGAGCTCAGAAGTTTAGCAACACTTTGAGATGTTCAACATTTTCTGGATCAGTATTTTTCTGGGATCTTCAATCCCACCTGTTTCAAACCCTAAAAAAAAAAAACAAACCTGTGGATTTGTATTTTAAGTTAATGATGTATGTATCCAGAATATTCAAAATACATGCTTGAGCTCTAGCAGAGCCATCCCTCTTCTCTGTGCTTTTTAAATGTCAGTACTTGAAATTAGTTTGACCCCTTAGTTGGTGATGTGTGGAAGAGAAAACAAGATGCAACTCATTCTTCTGTTCTTCCTTTGACTCTGCAGTTCCAGCAGGAACAAAGCATTGGGTCACTGCTTTTGAGTCTCTCACACGTTCCTCAGCTACTTTACAGAACAAACACACTGAAACAGTTCCTGTACTGAAGGACTTACATGCCATTAACTGCAAAACATTTAAATGATCAGAAGAGAGATAGAAGAAAGAGTACAGAAAGTACAAAGCTAAATATCAGGCTGTTACCTCACTCTATTGTGAGGTCAACAACACAGATAGTACTGAAACGGTTATTTCAAACATCAGAAATACTTAAAAGACCCAACAGAAGCCTGGGGGGAAAAAAAACATTTTCTTTGAACTCTAACATAACTTATTAGTGAGTCTTACATTTGAGATCTGCAATCTGAAACACTGTCATAAAAACATTTTCCTTGATTCCCCTGTGTCCTTACCCCAACAAGCAGGAAAGAGCAAATTGAAAGAGAAATAAAAAATTTGTCCAGTGCTGGAAATGTATTGCCTATTAAAAAAAAAAAAGAAAGAGAATTATGTGCTACATAATCAGCTCTAAACACACACAAAACATGCTTAATATGAAAATGTGCAAAATCACAAAATACATTTAATTCATACTAAAATTACGAATCATTTATACTACTACTGGAAACAGTTCAATGCATTTAACTGTCCTCATAGTGGACCAGTTGGTAAAAGAGAAGTGAATAATGAGACACTCAAAAACTACAGTTTGCATGAGGTGGTAGCTATCGTTCCAGAACTAGCTAGAGGAGCAGAAGCAATGTCCTTATCACACAGACATGGTACTGATGTTTTGACTGGCAAAAGACATATGCTATGCATTGTCTGTGATGGAGCAACACAATATGTTCTGCTAGGATAAAAGCTGGCCTGAAAATCTGATAAATACATGTGTTATCTACAATAATTTGCTCACTTCCCGTCAGTATTTTTCCGTTTTCTCCCTTTTTTCTGTGATTAAATTTCTGTGTGTCACATTGACATTGGTTACCTGCATCATTTAACAGGACTTTTTTTTGAGTGACCAAGCCAATGCAATACACAACAGGCAAATCGGATCTCTCTGATATATATTTATTCTTTTCAGGTAACTGAGCATTAAGTTGCTTGCCCCAAATCAGGCAGGGCCCACAGCACACTGTTTATCTTTCCCATGGAGCAAACTTAGCAACAAGTTAAACTTCCCTGCCCAGGTCTCCCAAAATGCCTCCAGCCCTGTGTGCTGGAACAGCAGTTCAAACCTTGCAGCTACAAAAACTTGGGCCCTTTCTCCAAGAAGGGCAGCAGCTGCATTCTCCTAAACTGGCTCAAGATCATGATGGACTGATGTCACAAAGAGATTTCACATTCACAGCAGAACTAAATCCATCACTTTCAGGGAATGATAATTTTTCCACTTATTACAGACTTCTAGGAACACAATGACAAAATCACGTGAGTCCAGGACACAAATACATACAACAAAGAACATAGCAGTGATTTATGACACCCTCCAAAGAATTTTCAGTGGCAAATCTCAAACATTTCTAAAAAAGACTATGAGTGACTAGACTCGTTTTACTGGTAAGAAAAAGGCAACTCAGCGAGTCTATGAGGGAGCCAGAAAAACACAAACCTTTTGGTCTGATCCTTTATATGTCAGGACATGCTGACTGTGATACTCAGTCAGACTAAGACTAAATAGAAATCTGTCCTGCACACCAAAATGAGAGAAGGACTGGAAATGTCCGTGTATTTCCCATTTCATTTTAGAGCACGTGGCAAAACACACAATGCAGCTGGATTATCAACCAAATTGCTCTAGCTGAAAGACATATATTAGTTCTTAAACAAAGCCTCATATGAGGACTACCACACAAATTCACCTTCTTATTAAGTAAATAATCATAAGTTCCTACCTGTGAAGGGCAAGTCCAAGTCACACTTTTCATATATTAGTCAATAACATGGAGGTAGAATTATCTCTTTAGAGACAAACAAAAAGCCCACCCACTTCCCAAGCGAAAAAAACCTGAACTAAACAAAGTTATCAATCTGAGATATGCAATACTGCTACTTACCTGCTGAAAGTCTCCAGTAGAAAAGCTAATAATAACTGTTGGAACCACCATGAAACAAGCATTATAGAACAGGACACCGTATTTTCCCAGCTCCTGTGAAAAATGGAAGATGGTGTTTGGAACTGCAAGCCACTTGGGAGCAAAATACTACATATGACTCTGGCAATCTTCCTGACATTATTCTCAATGAGCAGACAGGACATAATACATTTCAGTTTAAAACACAGCCTTGTGATCCTTGGATTCATTGTTTTGTACTAAGCTTAATTTCCACTTCAGTCCCTTTGTCTGTATACACAGCACAATATGACTGCTCTGTTATCCCTTGGACAGTTTCTGTACAATGCCAGCTAGTCAGGAACTTCCCAAAGAACTGGTCCAGAACTGCTTTGTTTGGGACTCCACATAAGGCTCTGCCTGGCCAAGGGATTACTCATTCCACCTCTTGAAAATTAACCATGAAAACACGTAACAGGAAAATGAATGAAGTCTGACATGTAAATGATTAATTTATGGTTTGGATTAATTTTTTTTTTTTTTTTTTTTTTTTTTTTTTTTGCCAAAAGCAAGGTTTTAAAGTAACCACAAACTCTGCCTAGGAGACCCGGGAGAAACTAAAAACTATACTGTTTGTTTACCTAAGCCTGGCCAGTGATTCAAATAACAAATTTTCCCAGGCTGTTCTGTATTAAAGACGCATATATCAACGGAAATGTGAAAGTAAATGAAACTGTTTATTAGTTCGTAACTGTTAAGTACATAAAATTACATAACAAGTAACCCACTGTTATCACATTGTCATAATGTTAAATTCAATCTAATCACCCCACAGTTACCTTTGGATCGATTTTCTGCTTTGTGTAAACTCCATTTGCTGCTGTGAAGATATCATTCAGCAATACGAAGATGTAGCCTTCCAGATTGAAAGACAGATCAGACCTGGGGAAGAAACATTATACTGTAAATAAGCAAACAGCATGCAATGCATTGCATTGCCTTGCTTACCTAGATGGACACTGTAAATGAGGATATGCAAATCCTGACAACTGCAGCAAGTCACAGGTTTTGCTTCAAGCATTCTTTGTAAGTCAAGGTACTCTACATTTCTCCAGTCACAAGACCTTCACTAATGAGCCACTGGAGAGTTCCCAGCAGTCAGTGTGAAAGTGGCAGGAAATGTTCAATTTTCATTCAGTGAAAAATTCCACCCATCTCAACCCTGACAACCACTCCAATTATTACTGAGTATACTTACCTATTACTTTTAATACAAAAAGTAGCTAGGGAATAAAGTCTGACGGTTTGTTACAGCCAGGCCAGACATATTGTCATCCTTTCTGTTTTGACTAGTTACCTCATGGATATAGGGTAATTCACTTAATAGGACACGGCTCTATCTGAGTCACCTCACATGGAAATTATTTACCCTTGTACACAGCAAAGCCAAGAAACAAACAAAAAACCCCATTACATTTCCAATTAGGTAAAGGAATATTCAAACAGAAAGAAAGCACAGGACAACAGCATATGAGTGCTTTGTGAACTTAATCTCACAATTGAACTTATTCAAAGTGATTAAAAAAATAGACAATACCTAACTCAATATCTGACAACCAAAAAAATCAGTCTTTCTATCCAGAACAGGAATATATCTTTTTCTAAGAATATTAAAATACACTGATACCATGAAATAAAAGCAACATTCCCCACACAGCTTTAGCTTGCTTCATTTATGATCCTGCAAACATGGAAAAACTTAGAGGTAAAAATAGAAGCACCCAAATACTTCCAGCAGGAACCAGAATTTCCCCTTTGTATTCCTGCACCTCCCAGTGACGTCAGCAGAGAGATTTTAAAAACCAATTTATTCCGGAGTAACTGATCTAAGCTTAGGTTTACTTGGAACTAAACCAGGAAAAAACCCTTCTGTTTTCCCTCCCCTCATAAAATGGCTTCATATAACAAACTAAAACCTTACCCAGCTGCTATGAAGGCCCCAAGAATGATGGCAAACACGCTGACTATAATACTCAGTGGGTACCACTTCCTGTAGGCAAAAATAAGACAGTTCACATTTTCATTATTTGAAGAGGGGATTAAATGGCTGTCTGCCTGAAAAGCTCCAAAGCAATTAGTAGTCCCAGGACATTTAACAGGAGGGCAAAGTCTTGATAACCTTGCAGAAGCAACGTGATTGCCCACGTGCCACACTGTCAGACCTTGGCCCCTGAGAACAGAGATTGAAAAAGCACCATGAGCATTCTGCTACTGGATAATTACAGCAGTAAATATTAAAGATTTAAAGTAACAGCGCTGGAATAAATGTGTATTGGTATTCATAATGGACATATTTCAGTGTCTTGCAGCAATCCAATAAGGGAAAATCACTGTGTATCTCTCACTTAGTTTTTCATATCACTTTTCCTGGGGAGGATGCCCTACAACACATTATCTGGACTGTTTTTCAAAGAGATACTTATTTTGAAGTCAAACTGAAACTTTGTGCATGAAAGGGAAAGCACAGAGCTGATGATATTCTTCACTACCACAGTGCTGCCACAAAGCAGTGAAAAGCATAATGTAAAGCTGTTCTTTCTTTTATATATCTACATTACTTTGTTTGGAAATGCCTTAAGTACTCATTTTTTGCACCACATGTGATATGCCTTAGAGACATCTCCCTAGTCCTTAGTCTGTCCTTAGCCTGAGAGAGGAGATCCATCAAAAGAAAATGTACAGTGCTCTTGGAAAAATGCTCTTGGAGAAATCCTGTGTGTTAAAGGAGCCCAGCCGTGGACCACAGTCCCAACAATAAAGCTGTATGCAGGCTCTGGACATATCAATCTTTGATCATAATGACTCTCAACAGTAATAAGCCATACCTTGACTGCTTTTCAAAGCCTGACATAAACCTTCACAGACCCTCTGGAGTCCTTTCATCTTCAGCCCTGAGGAAATACACTGTCCCAGGCTCCTAAGCTTCCCTTAGCAGGGATGTTAGGATGCTGCTTGCACTCACAGACACATGGCTGTAGTCCAGCTGAACACATATGACAATCTCACTGATTTATGTTTTTCTCACGTGCTTGTGGGACTCTTCAGGCCCACAGGAGAAGATAGCAAGTTGTGCTTTCCCTGTGAGAACTTACAACTGCAAAGAATACCAGAGCATCTCCAAATATGAATCACACTGATCAGCTGCTGCTTCAGCCAAAAGGAGATGACAGTCTACTTTGGGGGCTTTCTGGAAAGCTTGACCATCACTCTCTTGTTGCCTGGGTTCAGCTTCAGCAAGTTGTTTTTCCCCTTGTGACTTCATCTTAATCTACCACCAGCCATGTGGATAGAACTATGAAGTTGTAGACAAAATAAGATGTATTTATACTATCACCACTGTTTTGAGACAGAAGGGCTTGTCTGTTTGAAGCAGTTTGCAGATTAGGGGCCTTCCAGATGAGACACAAACATAACCACTGAAAGTGTCTGAGTTGTGTCTGCTTACCTGAATCCCGTGCAACAGCCAAGAGAGATGTGTAAATGAAAGCAAGATTATTTTTTTTCTGCATTCACTAAAATCTATGTATCTGTGTCTTCAAAAAACCCCCACTTTCTTTGCTTTTCTCTATTTGTCAGTAAAAATCAGTCATTCGATATTCTGATGAGCTGTCACAAGTAATCCATTTAATATGATCTAAAATAAAGGTATCTTAAATGAAAAAGAAACAAAACAAAACAAAAAGGATCACCCAAGTATGATGATTTCCAGCAGTAAAGTAAGTGGAATGGTAAACTTCCTGAGCACTGCAAACATCGGCAAACTGTCAAAAAAACAAAATAAAAATCCAAGCATATCAGATTAACAACATTCTCATGTTCTAATTCTTATTTTGCTAAACAGAGGATGGAACCATCAGTCCAGCAGTAAAAAACCAAATCAAATATCCAATCACTTAGCATCAGTCTGACATTAGACACAGAATAGATAACCAAATCACTGAAAAATAACAAGCTTTGATAATTTGTAAGCCAGTGCAACTGGCTACCTTCTAAAGGTCCCTCTGCATTAGTGAAATGAATTTAATAGATATTTTCTACCTAGCATAACCCCATGAAATTTTTTTTTTTCAAAATTCATGGGCAGGGTTAAGTGAAAATTATTTCTATAATAAACTTAGAGAATGGACAATAAACTTGTCTCTGAAAACATGTAAAAGAAATAAAATACAAAGAAACCATGCTTATTAAACAAGATGTACCTTCAAAAAAGTAAAACAAACCCATGAGAAAAAAAATCAGAGCAAGTACAAGAAATATGAAAGGTGGGACCAGCTGCAACTACCAAACTGTCACTTTTGAGCAACATATGGTTGATCTTCATGAAGTAATGCAGTTGGAAATCTTATTGATTGAGAAAACACTTGCATCTGACTTTGGAAATCTGACAGCATGGCCATATGGACCAATTAATCCTCTGCTTAAGATAGTTACTACCAACTGCATTAATAAATGATACGAATCCTAACACAGAGTTTAATCAGTTTGAAAGAGATATTTTTGAGTTATACATTGGATTGTCTACACCTTCCAGACAACCCAAACTAGATGGAGAATTCCACAGCATAAACAAATGTCACATATCGTAACAAAATGTGCTGTAACAAAAAGTTAATGGCAGAAATGCTGCAGCCATTTTTACTTTTCTGTTATAAAAATTAATTATGAATAGTAAATCTAAGAGAGGTATATCAGCCACAGGAGAGGGAGATAGTGCACTTATGTTTAGAATACCACACTAATCATTTAAAATTACAGTCAAGGGAAAGTGAAAGAAAAACCCATGAATCAAACTTTTACAGGATTGAAAATACTTTCATATTCACAATGGCTGAAGTGCTACCAGGGACAGGACTGCCTAAGTCTTTATGTCTGCCTGAGCAGTCACTTCAGTAGAACAATTTCTGAAGTCATACAATAATAAGTTGCAGAATCAGGCATCCAGTGTTCCTAGATAGGCAAAATTAATTCTCTAATTATAGAGAATTAATAAATAGAAATGTAAACAATAAAAAGAAATAAAAAGAAATGTAAACAACTTAAAAGTCATACATGGGGGACCTCATTGCTCTCTACAACTACCTGAAAGGAGGTTGTAGTGAGATGGGGGCTGGTCTTTTCTACTGTGCCTGCAGTGAGAGGACAAGTGGAAATGTCCTTAAGGTGAGACAGGGGAGATTTAGATTAGATACTAGAACAAATTTTTTTACTGTTAGGGTGGTCAGGTATTGAAATGGGTTGGCCAGGGAGGTGGGTGGTGGAGTCACCACCCCTGGAGGTGTTCAAGAGGCTCTGGGTGATGTGGTTTAGTGGTTCAGGGGTTATAGTGGTAGTGCTGGATTGACAGTTTTGACTTCATGATCTTAAAGGTCTCTTCCAGCCTTGACAATTCTATGATTTTATGATTCTATTTTCTTTCCCAGCATCTCTCTCAAAGTTAGGAAACGCAATAAACCTGCAAAATTCCCTGTTTTGGTTTAGCTTGCAACCAAACCCCTAGGAGCCTGCAGTAACACATAAAGAACCACCACAATGGCAGGGCTGTATCCTCCAGTCCTGATGCAGCCACCACGTTCCTGCATTCCTCTTCCACAGGAAATCTGGTCATTCAATCTATTACAGCATGCTGGGTACATAACTTGCACCTTTTTAGCACTAGTGTGGAAGCAACTCTCACTAATCCATGCTGACAGGCACACAGGAGTCTGGGAGCCCTTCAGCAATAGCCCCCAACAACTCACTTTTGGGGCTCTACGACCACCCCACTACCCAGTAGTTTTCCCATCTCTTGGTGATTCCTAAACACCTGCAATGACATCATGCTACACCTCTTTAACTTATGCTTCTTCCTTCAGAAACATCTTAGGAGTTTTCCAGCTCTCTGGTTAGGACACCCATGAAAAGCTGGGCACTTGAGTGTGAGGGCAAAGTGGAAGCACTTTCATGGTCACATAGAAAAATTGTGATTTTTATGGCAGTACAGGCCTGGCTAAGCTCCTTTTAAAAGAAGCAGACGCCTTGTAAACAGATCAAATGATTGGGTAAGAATTTCCTAATAGCACAAGGGGTTTAGAGAGACAGACAGACACCACATGCATTTAAGGCCCTACCCAATGCTCTTCTTTAGTGTTTATTTTTCACTTCACAAGAGAAAAGTCTTTTACCTCACAAGACGAAAAACAGTCTACTTATAATTTCCATTTACTGTACCTGAGTTTGCTGGTACTTGATAATCCACTTATGTGGTTTCCAACATAAATCAGAGGCAGAGGAAACAACTGTGATAAAATTAAAAGCACAACTCAGATTATTATGTGTTGAAGCACTGCTGAGAAACTTTACTTGATAGAATTTGGTACCCATATCAGATGTACTCTTAGCAAGAAAGAGGGTTTTTTTTGAGGGGAAAAAATGTGACTATGCTGCAAACTCATCTGCAGCTCACATTTATGTGACCATTCACAACCACAGCTTCACTGATTCATTAAAAGAGTTGCAATTTAGAGTAAATGTTGGTCAGTTTTATTTTAATTACTATATCCTCAGATTAATACCCATTCTAATATTTAAGTTTAGGTATAAATACTAATAACAGTAGCTAAATAAGCACGTGAACAGCTGGCATAAAACAATGAATGTAAGTGTGCTGTGCTTCTCTACAGACTCCACATATATTAGTAAGCCTGGAAGCTACAACGGTTTAGATCTACCCAACAAATCACGTTATGCAAGACATTAGAAAGGAAAGATAAGTATTTAGGGATAAATTAAACTTTATCCATTATAGCTTCTAGCATAAAGAGACTGACTTGCAATACAGAGAAAACATAACAGAACTTCAGAGCCTTAAGAAAAGAAGCCAGGGATCTCCACCCAATACTCAGCTGCAATTCAAAGCTGTTAATTTTCCCGTTACAGAAAAATTGTAGTATCAGAGAAGGGGTGAGGCTGGAATTTGCAGAAGATAAAAACCAACTAAAGTGATCAATGAGGACAAAGGTAGCGTGTAGAGTCAGTCCCATTCACTGTCAGTCAGCTGGAGCTGGAATGGCAGGAAGACAAAACAGACTTCTATCCTAATAACTGCTGCTGTTCCTACACAAGCTTCAGGAGATAAAACATGGTCTGCTGGAAAAGCATACAGAGAAGTGGGCTGCATTTTATCTATGTCAAAAATTCTTCATTTCTTTTACAGCAAGTGAGAAGAAAAGTGAAGTAAAAGTTAACTATAGTTAATTGAAGTTAACTTTTGAGTGAAAGTAACAGTAAAAGTTACGACTACAAAGAAAGCAGGAGCATAAGTAACAATAAATATTCAGCTTGTCAATGTAAGTTTGCAAAAATTTTGTAATGCACTATCTCTTCTGCAGACTTTTTTGGGAACATTTTGGTTTATTTCATATATAGACCGAACAAAGAGAAGACATTATATTATCTTTCCTCTAAAACTCATGCATTATAAAGACAAAATTACAACATCCAGCACAAGACCAGAGATAAGTAAATCATATACTTAAAAAGAGTCAAGAACTCTAAAGCTTCATCGCTAAAATAAGCATTTCACTAGTTTAAAACTCTAGCTGAAAGCACTGAAGACATAAACCATTTCAGGAGTGAAAAGTAATGATTATCTTAGTGTCAAAGCAGAAGTTGTCAAAAGGATGAAGAGTTGGTCTAAGGGTCCTTTAAAAAGTAAAGAAACAAGAAATGAGCAATCCAGCTGATTCACTGTGACTGGTCAAATCCAGCAATATGCAAGTCCTGGGTGCTCCCAGTCCACTCAGGGAAATCTTTCAAAGGACAGAAATTATTAGGATAAAGAAAATGGGAGCTGTGTTGTGCTAATGCCTTTGTCCTGACATTAAAGTGAAGGCAACAGCAGAGAGGGAGCACAGTGGGACTGAGGGAGGTGGAGGGAAGGAACTTCTCAAGGTCTCAGTAAGTTGCTTATATGTGGCACTCAAAGCTGTCCTCTGGGAAACCTTCTTCTTTCTTACTCTGGAATAAAGAAGGATTGTCCATTTTATGATTGACACCATGGATTTTCCTCCAAGACTTTTTACACGCAGAAATGTCAATAATTTCAACCTGCATTAAGAATGAACAAGTCTGCAAGACATCCATAGAAAACCTCACATGGACAAGACAAGATTCTGCAATGAAGATGCTGGCCTGAAAAGACACAATATCTGAGCCTTGCAGCAGAGCTGGAAACTATCTCTGTACCTCTGAGCAAACACCAACCAACACCACGGAACAAGACCCAAATTCACGGGCTAATGCATCAGAGTAAAACTCCAGCAACATCGCACATTGGTGCAAAAATCTACAAGGATCATTGCTGCAGTCATTTCACATCCTAGTTCCCAAACTGAGGTAACAGGAGATCCTTTCCTATTTGCTCTGGCCTGCTTCTTTAGACCATATACACTTAAGGTCTGTACAATGCACCTAGCTGCTACCTACAGTGTTTTCAGTGGGCATTATCTTAGCCCCTCCTATGGAACATAAATCTTACATTTGGAGTCAACTGTTGTTCAGGCTTTTGGTCTATCACATGTTCTTTTCCTATTGTTTCATCACATGCTCCACTGAGATTTCCAAGCAGCCCTTCCCCCTTCATGCTGTGTGCAAAAGTATTTCACAAACTCATATCTCCCACTGATCCCACAGAGAGCTGTCAAACCACCGCAATACGTCAGGAAAACACTTCAGGAATATGAAAGAGTTCATCCAGCTGTATGAAGGTACAGCATGCTTTCCCATCTACTCTATAACCAAATAGCACCAGGTTTCTCTGCAAACAGAGCTCATCCCTACAGCCCAAACACACAAGAATATCGAAAAGAATTTAAAACTATCAAATCCAATATTAAACAAAACACAGATACAAATAATCCCACTTGACAAACAAATGTAATTTTTTTTTGTCTGCATAGGAAAGAATGCCACTATAAGAAATAACTCCTTGCTATTAATATCAAGACATACCTAATTCTTACCTTCACAGGTATACTTTTGTCAAAATCAGGGAAGTGAACGATATTATTTAATTTTGACACATACAAGATAAGTATAGTGGCTGCCATCTAAACAAGAAGAAAAAACAAAAAGAAGTCATGTAAGAGCAAAATTGTAGTATATGAATAAAAGAACTGCTTCAAAGAAAATCTTTACATGCAATTAACACATGCTATGTATTCTGTATTTCTCTCAAAGAACAACACAGCATGTAATTAACAAACTGAAATAACTTTATTCTTACCAATTTTGCCAGCTATTTATTTAAAAGTAAAATATACACATGCACTTTCCTATCTAAAGAAAATTGGTGGCACTCTGTGAAACAGTGCATGTTGAGAGGGAGCTGAAAAATAAAACAGGACACAATCCCAGATTAACCATGAGATTTTTACTCAAAGAGTTGTTTAGTCTGCAAAACCACTCGTAAAGCTTTTTTTTTTTGCTAATGCAAGACAGTGGTTGTGCATTGATCAGTCTGTAGATAATATCAGGAAGAAATAATACAGATATAGACAGAATGAAGATGAATATCTTAGCAATCGCATATCACACCACAAGTGTTAATGCTGTCCTCAGGGAGTCAAAAAAAAGGTAAAATTTTCCTTATACAAAAATACAGTAGTTGACTATCTAGAGAATGCAGGGGAGTCATGTTCTGCAGACTGAAGTGTTATACCATATTTTATGCACTTCACAAAGTGTGCAGGGAAATCTTGGAAGGATCAGTCAACAAAAAAAAATGGAAATACCATTAAGTCTTAGGTTCTGCAATGAAACAAAGCCATAGCATCACATGGATTATTGCTGCATTTTGTAGTCTTCCACTGAAACATGATCTGAGGTTCCTTGATCAGTGTGGATGTGTAAAACTCTCCCTCCCACTCACAAAAACTTTACAAGACATTTTACTGTCTCCAGCACTGAACAGCAGAGACCTCAGGCTTGTAGTACCCTGTTTTAACCTCTTCCTCACTACCCCCTGGCATGCAACCCTGGCAGAAAGCAAATCCTCTTTAAAATGTATTTGCCTAAATAAAAAAAAGCTTGCTTCAAGGCTCTGTCTTTCCCAGTGACCCCAGTCACACATTCTCCTTTACAGACCATGCCTGCAAACATTTGAACTTTTTTTTACTTTGTTTTATTACGATGCCTCCTGACAACAAAAAAAATAAAAAACATTTCTGCTGCAGTACTCTGACTTGCAAATAAAGCAACAGAGAATCAAAATTTTGTGCTGGTGCTATTGCAAAACTGTTAGGAAATGAGGGACATATTTATGAGGAAATACATGGTTTTGCTACAAAGAGGGGCAATATCTAATATAATCCACAAATGCTCAAGGACTCTTACAGGATGTATGCACTTTCTAGAACAAACCTTGGCAGTTTTGAAGGCCTGATCTCTTAATTGCTGAACTTTATAGGAGAAATAAATGGCATTCCCAGTCTTTTACGTGACTCTTTTCAGGCAATAATTTTGACTTGAATTTACAACTTCCCAGTTCTCCATAAAGCAAATTACAGTTCCTTATAGTCTGTCTAATCCAGAAGACAAGCAGTTCAGTATAACTGGGATTTTGGCCCTCTGAAATCTAACTCTATTTTCATTAGTTTAACTTATAAAATAACGAATATGTAAAATACGCTTTACTCATGAACATACCTGTCCGATTCCAAGGAACACTGGAGATGGGAAGCTGAAAAGTATTGACAGATATTTAATACTGAGGAATGAAAAAACAATAATCAGGAAAAAAAAAAGTTTAAATTTAATACCAAAACCAACAACTGACAGAATGATGGGCCTGTGTTTCAGAAGCGCTCAGGGCTACACTTATTGTAGTCCTGATATTTTATTTACACAGCAAAACACAATCTAGATAATATTGGAAATGCACAGGCGGTCAATTCTAAACTGCTAATAGTTTGGGGGACATTTGTAAGTGAAGGTAACACACTTGGTGAACTCTTAACAATGCATCATTTTTTGAGTGGCCTCACATACAAATTATGCAGTAATTAGTAACTTAAATCTCTTGCACTTGCCCTAACTTGGAAGCTTATCTCTACAGTCCAAATGTACTAGTAATATGTTTCTGTGAAAATCAGATTCCTGGGTAAATGCTGTAGAAACATCCCTTGTCTGCTAAAGGGCTGCATTCCTACCAAATCCTACCATTCCTTTCAGCTTCAGTTAGCTTTAGCTGAAAGCATGGATAGAATCATAAAATGGTTTGGATTGGAAGGGGCCTTAAAGATCACCTTGCTGCAGCTCCCTGCCATGAGCAGGGACACCTTCCACTATTCCAGGTTGCCCAGAGCCTGATTCAGCCTGGTCTTGAGCAGCTCCAGGGATGGAGAGTCACAGCCTCTCTGGACAACCTGTTCTAGTACCTGTTCTAGTACCTCACCATTCTCACAGTAAAGAATTTCTTCCTAACATTAATATAAATCTGCCTTTTTCAGCTTAAGACCTTTCCCCTTTGTCCTATCACTACATGCCTTTGTAAAAAGTCCTCCAGCTCTCTTGTAGCACCCTTAAGGTACTGGAAGGCCACAATAATGTCTCAGAATCTCCAGTCTGATCAACCCCAACTCTCTCAGCCTGTCTTCACAGCAGAGGTGCTCCAGCCCTGTGATAAGTTTAGTGGTCCTCCTCTGGACTCATTCCAGCTCCTTCTTGTGTTGGGAGTCCGAGACCTGGACACAGCCCTCCAGTGGGGTCTCATCAGAGCAGAGGGGGGAGAATCCCCTCCCTGGACCTGCTGCTCATGCTTCTTTTGACGCAGCCCAGGATACAAATGGCCTTCTGGGATGCAAGCACACATTGCCTGCTCATATTAAGCTTTTTGTCCACAAACAACCCCAAGTCTTTCTCCCCAGGGCTAGTCTGAATCCATTCTCCTCCCATTCTGTATGTGTGCTTGGGATTGCCTCAACCCAGGGGCAGGACCTTGCACTTGGCCTGGCTGAACTTCATGAACATCACACAGGCCCACCTCTTGAGCCTGCCAAGGTCCCTCTGGGTGTCATCCCTTTCCTCCAGTGTGTCAACTACACGAATTTGCTGGGGGTGCACTTGATCCCAGCCTCCACATCACCAACAAAGATGTTAAACAGTGCCAGTCCCAGCACCTGTCTCCAAGGACAACACTCATCACTCTCCACTTGGACACTGAGCCGTTGACTGTAGCTCTTTGACTGTGCCCATCCAGCCAATTCCTCATCCACCAAGTGGTCCATCCATCAAATCCATGTCTCTCCAGCTTAGAGGCAAAGAATGTCACATGGTCAAATACCCTGCACAAGTCCAGGTGCCCTTCCCTCATCCACCACTGCTGTAATCCTGTTGTAGAAGGCCCCCAAACTTGTCAAGGCATGATATGCCCTTTGTGCAGCCAAATCACCTCCTTATTTACCATGTCCCTTAGCATAGTTTCCAGAAGGACCTGCTCTGTGATCTTGCCAGGCACTGAGGGGAGACTGACCAGCCTGTAGTTCCCTGGATACTAAATTATTAGTTCTAGAGAACTAATTACTAGTAATACTAATAATATTAATAATACTAAGTATATTAATAATACTAATTAGTATCCACATCGCAGGTCCCTGGATATCCCTGGATTCAGATACTCAAAAGACAGGAAGGCAGAAACTCAAGCAGAACACCTGAAAAGCCTGAGTGTCTCCACTTCCCCCCCCTTAATGTACATCAAGTTAAAACTACTCAAAGTATGGCAGTAACTGGCCATTCTCCATCTGCATGCTGAGAGATGTTATACACAGTTCCTGTGTGTTCCAATAGCAGCGAACGTTAGAAAATAACAGCCAAAATAACTTTTCTTTTTCCTTTTGTTTTTTTTTCTTGTTCTGATTTTGGTACATAATGAGCCAAACCACAAAACACTAGAGCAAAGATAAAGTAAAATATATTAACGGTGAGAAAAATCACAGCCACAGGACAGTCATAGAATATTCTGAGTTGGAAGGGACCCACGAGAATCATCGAAGTCCAAGTATTAATCCAGATGGGAAATATGAATTGGAGAGGAATGCTCAAGTTCCTCTGTTTCCCCGAGCTGCAAGAGAATGGAAAGTGCAAGAAGTCTGCAGTTAACACAGTGGTACACGATGCCAATTATCACAACGATTCCACATCACGGGATGCGGAACGATGGGAATTAGCCCCGTCAACTCAGAGTCCTTCAGTGTTTTTGTGACTAAGCAATTTTATGAAGTTCACTTTTCATTTCTGGCTACCCCCGAGAAGGAGGAAGGCAACGAGTCCGTTCGGGAGGCAGAGCCGCGGGACGCGCCGTTCCCGGCAGGGCCCGCCGTGCCCGCACACTCTGGCACGGGTCGGTCCGAGTCGGGGAGCCCGGCCCGGCTCCCGGGGCAGCGCTGCCCTCGGGCCGGGACCGCGCGGGCCCGGCCTGGCCGGCGCTCACCTGCAGGCTGAGCTCACCTGTAGGCGCTGAGCAGCGCCTTGTTGACCAGCACGATGAGGAAGGAGCACGTCCCGTAGAACAGCGCCGAGAGCACCCTGGGCAGCGCCGGGGCCGCCGCCGCCTCCCCCGCGGCCTGCCCGGCGCTCATGGCGGCGAGGAGGGGCCGAGCAGGGCCCGCCGCTGCCCCGCTCCGCTCCTGATCCCGCGGCTGCTGCTACTGCTCCTCCGCCCCGGCCCGGCCCCGAGCACGGCGGCGGCAGCGCGGCCCGGGCGCGCCGGGGAGCGGCGGCTCCAGGCCCCGCCCGAGGGGGCGCTGCTGCCGCCCCGGCGCCGCTCTTGGGCCCGGCTGTGGGGGCTCGGCTGTGGGGGCTCCAGCTCGGGGGGCCCGGCTGTGGGGGCTCCAGCTCGGGGGGCCCGGCTGTGGGGAGCCGGCTGTGGGGGCTCCAGCTCGGGGGGGCCGGCTGTGGGGAGCCGGCTGTGGGGGCTCCAGCTCGGGGGGGCCGGCTGTGGGGAGCCGGCTGTGGGGGCTCCAGCTCGGGGGGGCCGGCTGTGGGCGGCTCGGCCGGCGAGCAAGAGGACTCGAGGTGAAAGCCCGGGGCGCCGCGACTCCGCCTCAGCGGCTCCCGAGGCTCATGGCCACCCCCCGGCAGTGCCGCCGAGCCCCCGCTGGAGTCAAACCATCCCGGTGGGAACGAGTCGCACTCCGGGCACTCGCCCGCGGGCCAGGGAGAGGTGCGAGCCCCCCAGCACGGCGGCAGGGACAGGCTCCAGCAGCCCCCGGGACTCCCACAGCTCTGTCGAACTGTGAAAAAACGCTCTACAGAATTTGCCTCGGGTGGTTTAACTTGGGTCAAATTTGGACCTTCACCCTCTGCAACAAGTCGGGCTGTCAGCACTACAGAAACAAGGAGGAGGCTGAATACTTAAAGGATTACCAAACAGCACACATTAAACCTGAAAATTAAAGTTTTTATTCAAAGCATCTATTAGAATGACAGCACATCAACTCTTCTGCCTTTAACTCATGCCAAACTACAACTTAATCTTTCAAAGCACTGAACACTTTCATGACTCCTTGTATGTAATCACTTAATAAAACAAAAAGCAGTCTTACACACATTGGGTTTTTCTTTTACTTGGTATTTTACCCAAAACTTGTCATGATCCAGAACTGCTTCAGCTGTCTGAATTTTGTCTACAGCCAACTACAATTCAGTGTACTTGTTGTTTTTGAGGAAAAATCCTGCAAGTTGCCCAAAGCATTACAGCTGACTAGGAAAAAAAAAAATCCTAATGAAGTTACAACACCAGTCTGCAACTGGCTGGTAATTACAGAGTCTCCTGCCCTTTGAAACACTACTCAGGAGCAATTCTCAGTTATGACTCAGAACTACAACGGATTTAAGTCCAGGGCTCATTCTGGGATCAGATTATTTGCATGAAGCCAGATTAACAGTCAACAGCATGTAATTTTTTTGAGAAACTCAAAACCTACACACATGAATTACCAGTTTTACATAGGCTAAGAAGCCTAGTATGACTAGTGTTTTCTATTTTTTTCAGAAGCTGAAGCAAAAATTAAACCGTATCACTGGTGCAAAATCATTTACATTCAATGAAAGTGATTTTTATTTTAATTATTCAATTACTCTTTAGCTAAGTGCATCAATACAAGATTTAAATGAACTAGGTTAATGAGATTTTCAAACACAACAGGTTATCAGAGAACACATTTCACTAGTTGCAGCTCCTGGTGTAAAACCACTCTACTTTTCTGGAACAGCTGTATGCATCTGGTCAGTCCTTACCAAGTGATTGATAAAATTATTTCTTCCTCTTGTTTAAGTGAGAGGGAAAGAAGCTTCCCTTCTCATTTGAATTTCCTGACCTCTAACAAAAGGAAGGAGTTAAAGCAAGCAGGTCAGTAAATGCACATTATTAATATCCCCTTAAGCAGTAGCTTCATAACAACAACCAACAACAAAACCACACAACAAGAAGTCCAATCTGAAAACAAAGTTTTGTTAGAATATTAGGAATCTCTGGCTGCCTTCAAAGAAAATTATGGAAAAAGATCACCATGAGACAATGCTACTGAAAAGTATACAGCATTCCCAAAGTGACAAGATACCCTGTTAAACATTTTATATCAACATCTGAGTACTAGGCAGCATTCTGTAACTTCATTTATTTGGGAAATATACGAAATCCCACTGTTAACACACTTGTAACTTCGGAAGCCTATTTTCTAGTTGTATAGTGAATACTTTCCTGCAGTGTTTAACTGATAGCTGTGCTATGGTTAGTGAACACAAAATTGGCATGTTATCCTGAAATAAAGCAGTAAGGTGGCTTTAGGCACAAAAAGTACGGAGGCTCATATCTGCTGATCATCATATGAAAGCAATACTTTAAAACTTAGTGTTTGCTAATAGAAGATCTGGAATAGTTAACTAGAAATCCATACCACCCTGTAAATACCCCCTTTATCAACAAAATCAAGTGCCAAACCACTACAGGGTCAAAAAACATCTGAAAAAATATTACCAATTGTTTAACTTTGTCTAGACTTTGCAAGACTAATCATTTTCAGACAAAACAATGTGCAAAAGTTCCCAACGTCACATGTTAGGAATAACAAGTGCTACCAAGAGATTCTGCTGAAATCAAATCAGAAAATGTAAAGCAGCAAAGTCAAGCCTCATACCTTGAGCAGTCACAGTGAAGATACTGAACAACCTTAGGATTTCCTGCACGAAGCAGTTCCTTTCCCACTGCAAGTTGAGATGATTAACCTTTGCCTTTCCCCTTGGTGATACTAGGTAAAGACATACTGACATTAGAAAAACACAGTTTTGTTGCTGTTTAACAGTATCCCCAGACCTATTGCTTTTTATAAATTTGCTTAAATAGTCAGATAAATGCTTTTCTTTTTGCCAGCCTTCTTTGGCCACATGTACCATTCTGCTAATTGCGAACACTTTGTTCAGAAAGTGCTTCCTGTGAAAACTGCTCCAAATAAATGAGTTAACCTTGCAAAATCTAGCTTCCCAAGACACATAAATTTGTCAACCCTATATTTACAAAACACTTATAAACTTTACATATGTCTTCTATCTTATCAAAAGTGCAATTCTCTCACCCCGCGTTACGGGGGCAACAACATTCTTCATAAATTCTACAGAATAGCAGCCTATGATAAGCAAATAAGGTGCTTAGCTTATGCTTGGGATCTAACTGGTTAAGTGACACCAGCAGGTAACGTTTTGTGTAGGCAGAGAGTGCTCCCATCTACTGTCTCAGGGGTGCCACAGCTAAGTTTGCCAGCTCGATGAGAGCCAGCGCTCCGTGCATGCGCTCGCGCTGCTCCTGCAGCCGGCGCAGGCAGGCAGCTGAGTGAGAGCTGCTCTTCTCTTCATCGTCCTCCTCATCAGACTGGAGATACTCCATCGGGTCCTGCTGCTCCTGGTCCGTTTTCTGCATCGCTTTGGTCTTCAAAGCAAGAGCGCGCTGCTCTCTGGTCTCCCAGTATCTGTAACACCAAATGTGGGGAACGCTCGTCAAATGAAGGATATTGAGGTCCTGGAGCAGGTCCAGAGGAGAGCAACAAGGCTGGGAAAGGGACTCGAGCACAAGTGCTGTGAGGAGAGGCT